TCGATATTGCAATTTTCATCGATAATTTTCAAAACTCGCTATACAATTAATTTCTTGAAGGATCCTTATGGAAATATCACCAAATATTAATTAAAGTATCCTCTTTTTAATGCAATAAGCCGTTTTGAAAAATCACTTTCAGTTCTTGAGAAATAAGTTTTTGAAATGATCGACAATTTTTTCGAATTTTGCAATTTTCGCCGATTAAGTTTTAAAAATTCGTATAAAATCCAGTTCTTGGAATATGAGTATGAAAATTTCCCAAAGTGTTAATAAAAGTGTCCTCTTTCCAATGAACCAACCCGTTTTGAAAAATAACTTTTAGTTTTTGAGAAAACAATATTTGAAGTTTTGATAAAATTTTCGATGTTGCAATTTTCATCGATAATTTTCAAAATTCGCTATAAAATTAATTTCTTGAAGGATCCTTGTGGAAATATCACCAATTATTAATTAAAGTATCCTCTTTTTAATGCAAAAAGCCGTTTTGAAAAATCACTTTCAGTTCTTGAGAAATAAGTTTTTGAAATGATCGACAATTTTTTCGAATTTTGCAATTTTCGCCGATTAAGTTTTAAAAATTCGTATAAAATCCAGTTCTTGGAATATGAGTATGAAAATTTCCCAAAGTGTTAATAAAAGTGTCCTCTTTCCAATCAACCAACACGTTTTGAAAAATAACTTTTAGTTTTTGAGAAAACAATATTTGAAGTTTTGATCAAATTTTCGATGTTGCAATTTTAAGAGTAAAACTAAAAGTTTAAAAAAATAGATCTAAAACTTGGTTGCCCGTGATTTAGAAGTGGAATCCTAAAGCTTGGGTGACAGCTGCTCTTTTTGAAGACTGGTTTGGTGATCACTGCACACCTGAAGTCGAACGTTATTGCCAATTAAAACAAATCCAATTTTATATAACGTTTTTAATCGACTTATCCTCCTGCAACTGTAATTCATTTCAACCCACGTGTGAAAGTTGTATTTTTGCCACCGAATACAACCTACTTGCTTCAACCGATGGACCAGGGAGTTATGAAAACATTTAAAGCTTACTACGCGAGACGATCGTTTGCGCATTTACATGAAGCTATGAACCAAACAATGAGTTTTCTTTTAAAGACTTTTGGAAGCAATTCAATGTTTTAGATGCCGTGAGAAATTATTGGACAATCTTGGAATAAAATTTCACAAAAAACTTTAACTGACGTCTGGAAAAAATTTCGTCCATTTTCAACGTCAGATCCTGATCAAATTGATAATGTGATTGAACAAGTGATCGATCTTTCCAGACAATTAAAGTTAGAGATGGATGGTGATGACGTTCAAGAACTGCTGGATTCACACAATCAGTAGCTGACAATTGATGAGCTTGTAGAAATGCGTGAGCAAGAAGAAGAGCAAGACATGGAACAATCTAATTCTTTAGACCTGGTTCAATCCGAAGATCAAATGACGGTTGCAAACTTGACAGAAGGCCTCAGTTCAATTGAAAAAGGGTTATAAATTTTAGAAGCTAAACTCCAACGAGACGCGTATTTCTATTACAAAATGGGGAATACAAAATTTATTAGCGTGCTACGAGGAAATTTCGCGTGAGAAGAAAAAAAATTTTACTCGTCAGACGACATTATTAGATTTTATGAAGCTTTCTACATCAAAATAACTTCCGTTTACTTTTTTGCAATATGTACTTACATAATAATATACTTTGTTGTATGTATTATCTAACAGTTTATTAAACATTTTTCTTCTAAATTATTGTTTTCTTTAGTCTCTGGTCCCAATTGAACATAACTTATATGTATTTATGTGCAAAATTGTACCGCGACTTACGCGAATTCGACTTACACGGTTATTGGTCGGTCCCACCTATCGCGTAGGTTTCATTGGGCAAAGTTAAAACTAAAATCGGCATAATCGCAATGGTCACCATTTGCGAAACTACTTAGGAAATTAAAACCACTACAACAAATAGAAGAGAACTTTTACACGCCATCAACAGTTACAACTGTGAAATCCACTCAACCGGTAGCCTAATTTATTGGTCAACGGATGTTAATAAAATTCCGTATCTAATTGATTTTTCATTTCATTGGAAATTATCGAAAAGTTTTAACAACGTTACAGAGGAGTTTGACCTAGTTTTGACCGATCTCCTATTATGACACTAAATCAAACAATCACAAATTGATAATCCCGCTGACGACCTATAACATATTTAAAGCCATCTTAAAATAAAACATAAACTTAAAATTTGGAAAAAGTAAAACAAAACTATGTTTGACGATGAAAAATTAGTTTCAACATGTTTCGGAAATATTATTTCCATCTTTGGTCCATCAGTTGGTTCATCGGAAGATGCAAGCAGGTTGTATTCGGTGGCTAAAATACAACTTGCACACGTGGGTTGAAATTAATTAGAGTTGCAGGACGATGACCTGGTGCGTTGTTGATTAATAACATCGCTTATTTTAAAGGGATTTGAAACGGGATTTGTTTTAATTGGCAATAACGTTCGACTTCAAGTGTGAAGTGATGACCAAACCATTCTTCAAAAAGAGAAGCTGTACCCAAGCTTTAGCATTCCACTTCTAAATCACGGGCAACTCACTTTTAGATCAATTTTTTAAAGCTCTTGGATTTTGTGAGCGATCAACTGCATTCGCACCAACCATCATTGTCAATCTCTTATTGCTAAATTAAACTTAAAAGTCTCACTGAAAGCTTCTGATAATTTAGAAAACAATGTGGAGAAATTTAGTTGCAACATTCAAAATGCAGCTTGGACAGCTACACCGATAATTGCTAATTGCTAATATTAAGTCTAAAGCGACTAAGAATGTATATTCCTCCAATAAGAATAATCCTGGATAATCCTAGATGTCGCGTAAGTGTTCGATAGCTCTTCTACAACCTCGCACAACTACTTCCTATTGAATTTTATATAGAATGGATTCCAGGTACACCGTAGAAATCATAAAATAAGTTGAATCGATGTATAAATTTCTTTATTAAAGCAGTGCTATATATGTTTCGAATCTAATGATTCTTCTTCTTGGCACAACATCAAAAGTATTATGCTGTTTGATGGATTAAAAACATTCTGAACCGCTTGTAAAATATTATTATTAACAACATCACGACGTGACAATCATACGAAAAGAACCAATACCTGTTATTGGTACAATCAAACAGCATAATATTTTTGACGTTGTGCCAAGAAGAAGAATCATTAGATTCGAAACATATGTAGCACTGATTTAATAGAAATTTATACATCGATTCAACTTATGAACTTTTATTCTATTCCTATTGAATATATGGGCTTAATAAAATCATATTACTTCAGAGTAAGATAAGAAGGCGAAGTGATATCCCTAAACCGGACGAGGTCACCACGGCAATATTCGGTGACTACATCGCTGTTTGCGAAAGTGTTGGAGAAACGACTCAAAAGTTACAGAGTGCTGTAAACCAAATTTACGAACAAACATATCGTTTACATTCCTGTCACTATCAATACAATTATCGTACCACATTCTGACATAGCTAAATATCTTGGCATGACGCTTATGAGGAAAGTTTGGTGGAAAGTACACGTCAAGAAGAAATGCGAACAACTAGACATCAAATACAAAACAACAAAACAATATTGCCATAATACAAACATTTCAAAATGAAGTCCTTGATGTTTTGTCAAAAATGCTTATTTACATCGCAAATAGTTATTTATATTTGCAAATAGAGACACATCAGGACCGCCTTCACCACCACGATAATGCCGAAGCTATCTAGCTTCTCGACCAAGAGAACAAAACATTTTGACGTAGTGAAGTGACTACAAACCAATGTTTGGTGAATGTAATGTTGAAAAAACGAACGTGTGAGCGCCTCTATTTGAGGTAGTACCAGAGATACAATGAAAATATATAGTCATAAGATAAAGATGACGATATAAAGCTCAGCCGAAATGAAAGATATTAGTGGACTTGATGGAGGATTCCGTCAGTCCATACTGAACGCGGAAATTATCGAATAATAATTAGTTCATTAATTGCTTAATGAGATCATGATTTGAGATCATCACGGCTCTTAGTGTGTTTAATCGTGTTATTATCCTTTTGCCTGAGGATCTTACTAATCATAGCTATAAAATCACACTATACAATAATTTACCGTTTTTCTTGCTTAGTAATTGTTTCAGTTGTCATTTTCGGTGATAGATTAGATAAAGCATTACCTAATGAACAATATATTAATCTTACCACTATTATCTTTATGTAATTTAGTAGTTTAACGTTTTTGCCAAGTTTGATTAAAAAATTTCTAAGTATTATACCTACTGGTAGTAAATAAAAAAGAAAATATAAAGTGCAATTTATTTAATTATAACCAGATTAAATTTCAATATAAATCACAATAAATTTAAATTTACATTTTAATAAATACAAATAATACAATGAGTATTTATTTATTTTCTAATATTCTTAATACAATAATCTAATCCACTTTGGCAACCTTCCTCGCTTTTCTTTTCCTTATTTTTTTCTTCACAGCACTTACAACCAACAGATACATTTTGTACATACCATACATAATCACACAAATTGGTAAAATTGTTATAATTGCTATGTCTAGTGAACTTCCTTTAAGAAAATCCATTTTTGAGAATTTTTCGGAATTAAATAGTACTTAATTTTTTCTGCGAAACAACGAATATTCTCCACACATTTTCAAACACTAATTTTAACTTTCAGCGGAAATAATTTAACGTGGTAAACCTTAACCATAGAGACAAGGTTGTGTGTAGGCGCTGATAAACTCACTGATAAAACGAGATAAACAGAAATTATTCATGGAGGAGATTTTCTCTAAACATAAAAAATTATTAAACGAAACTTTATTGTTACGTTATAATATAATTAAAAAGTGATTGAATATAGATTTAAAATTGTTTAAAAAAAAATTTCTTACAATGTTATGCAACCAAACATACCTAAGTATTAATTATTTTTCTTTTTCTTATCGACTTTAGTTGATTTACATTTATTAATTAAACGTTTTAATCCGCATAAAACGAATGATGTTGAAATAAATAAAACCACAAAAATCATGATTTGAATGCTGTAAATTTCGTGATACTTCATGTATCTAGAACGATGATTTAAATCTCCTTTATACGTTTTTTTATTCCTCAACATATATTCAATCCAAAATATTGCCCTATCTAATGGATGATTTTGTTGGTCTTTAAATAATGTTGATAATCGTTTCATTTCGTTGTTGTAACTACAAAAAAAATTATAATTTTAAATAAATAATAATAAAAAGGATTGAACTAAAACTAGAACTAACTGTAATACTGGACCTAGAACTAGAAACTTTCTTTATACTGGATGAGGTTCATCAATTCAAATGTATGTATTGATAATCGAGTCCTTATAAAGTGTGATGTTCTTCGTAATCGCTCCTAAAAAAGCTTGGAATGTGTTCCAAATAGAGTAATAGGCACGCGTAGGTATTTACGAAAAAATAAGAATAATTGCCGAAGAAAGAATAGGAGAATACCAATGCTGTTTGTTCTGAAACAGAGTATGGAGAAATGTTATGAATATAACAAAGACCTGCATTTAATGTTCATCGACTTCAGACAAGCCTTCAAAATTACAATCAATACTGATAAAGCAAGGTATTCCAAAGAAAATCGTCAGCTTGGAAGTGATCAAAATGTACGAATCTAAACCAATCAGTAGTACAAGGTAGAAAGTTGGAACCATTTGCTATTAAGGCATATCAAATGATTGGATACGCAGATAACATAGTAATAATGGCCTGCTCTCTACACACTATGGTAGAAACATAATCTGCCTAAAAATCAATGGACAAAAAACCAAATACATAAGCATGTCCAGAGAACTGAACTGTTGCTGCGTACAACTTTGAAAGTGTGGAAAGCATTAGGTATCTGGGCATTTTACTCAGAAATGATAATTGCATACAAGACAGAATAAGAGCTGGAAATGCATGTTACTTCGCTGACACAAAGTTGTTCCAATTAAAACTGCTGTCTAGAAAATTAAAACTATTTCTATATAAAATGATAATAAGACCGCTTGTCAAACATGGAAACGAAGTCTTATCATTTACAACAAAAGATGAGAATGAATAGCCTAATGATATTTAAATTTTCGGCGCAAAATATGAGAACGATATTGTTGAAGGAGAAAACATTGTTAGGTTTGCTAAAGGTCAGAGAATATGATGAATAGGACACTTCTGAAGAATAGGTGAAACAAGGAAAGTAAAGAAAAATCATATCATCTCTATTTTTAATTGTAATGACATGATGTTTATGTTAAATTAAAGCTTGGAGATTCTAGTTTATGATATGATATAAAAACTATATGATAATATTAATAAAATTTCCTGAAAAAATGTATTAAAGAAAACACTGTCAAGTTTGCAAATATAAAATGACATCATACATTCAAAAAATCATATCATATCTATTTTTAATTATAATGATATGATGTTTATGTTAAATTAAAGCTTGGAGATTCTAGTTTATGATATGATATAAAAACTATATGATAATATTAATAAAATTTCCTGAAAAAAGGTATTAAAGAAAACACTGTCAAATTTGCAAATATAAAATGACGTAAAATATTCAAAAAATAATATCATCTCTATTTTTAATGGTAATGATATGATGTATATGTTAAATTAAAGCTTGGAGATTCTAGTTAATGACATGATGTAAAAACTATATGATAATATTAATAAATTTTCCTGAAAAAAGATATTAAATAAAACATTGTCAAATTTGCAAGTATAAAATGACATGATCTTTTCAAAAAATTACATCATCTCTATTTTTAATGGTAATGATATGATGTATATGTTAAATTAAAGCTTGGAGATTCTAGTTTATGATATGATATAAAAACTATATGATAATATTAATAAATTTTCCTGAAAAAAGATATTAAAGAAAACACTGTCAAATTTGCAAATATAAAATGACATGATGTTTTCAAAAAATCACATCATCTCTATTTTTAATGGTAATGATATGATGTTTATGTTAAATTAAAGCTTGGAGATTCTAGTTTATGATTTGATATAAAAACTATATGATAATATTAATAAAATTTCCTGAAAAGAGGTATTGAAGAAAACACTGTCAAATTTGCAAATATAAAATGACGTAAAATATTCAAAAAATCATATCATCTCTATTTTTAATGGTAATGATATGATGTATATGTTAAATTAAAGCTTGGAGATTCTAGTTTATGATATGATATAAAAACTATATGATAATATTAATAAATTTTCCTGAAAAAAGATATTAAATAAAACATTGTCAAATTTGCAAGTATAAAATGACATGATATTTTCAAAAAATCACATCATCTCTATTTTTAATGGTAATGATATGATGTATATGTTAAATTAAAGCTTGGAGATTCTAGTTTATGATATGATATAAAAACGATATGATAATATTAATATATTTTCCGGAAAAAAGATATTAAAGAAAACACTGTCAAATTTGCAAATATAAAATGACATCATATTATCAAAAAATCATATCATCTTTAATTTTAATGGTAATGATATGATGTATATGTTAAATTAAAGCTTGGAGATTCTAGTTTATGGTATGATATAAAAACTATATGATAATATTAATAACATTTCCTGAAAAAAGGTATTAAAGAGAACACTGTCAATATAGGGTAAGACCTAGAATGAGATGGATAAACGGTGTGACCAACGACATAAAGAAGCTGGAGGTAGAGTAGATAGAGTGGAGTGGAGGCAGATTGTTCAGATGGCCAAATCTCGCCAAGGACGATAATGACGATTTATTCAGGAAGAACCTTAAGCGATTTAGGGGTTAAAACCGTGAAAAGTGTAAAACCAAAGAAGCAACGATTGTACTGACTAGGTGCCGAAGGGCTATTGGGAATTGTTGAAGTTTATGTACAAGTACCACCATCTATGGTATCAATGGTAAATTAGAGTAAGCAAGAAGTAGTTCTTAGTCGGTAAAAAGAAACAGTAATTAAAATAAGTAAAATAGAATAAGTGAATGTGAGATTGTGTGAAAGTTAAGGAGATAATAATAAAAACTCAAAAAGGACAATTCCCTGTTTTTACTAACCACGTTCTGCTGACATAAAACCACAGGAATACTTGGGGACTAAATCCGAAAGTTACAATGTGGATCTACACTTCTGTGATAAGATCCATGATAGCTCACGGAGCCATTGTTTGGTGCTCAGCACTAAAACATGCATATAAAGCTAAATTGCTGCATCAATTGCAACGACTGGCCTGCCTAATCACAGGCGCTATGAGATCTACACCTACCATTACGATGAAGACTATGCTGAACGTGCTGCCCATAGATACTTTTATCAGGGAGGTGGCCGTGATGGCGTTGCTTCGATTGCGATCAGTAAATGATAAGCAGGTTGTTAAAATGGGAGTAGTCCGGAGCAAGCTCTGGATTGAGGCTATTCGTAAACAACCTCTCTTTAAAGCTCGCACAGACTACATTACGCCTACTTTCTTCGGTAAGCCAATTTTGGCATTGAAATGATACCCCAGAGCAACCCAAGCTTGGGCAAAACGCTGACCATCTACACTGATGGATCAAAGAAGGCTGGAGGTTCCGGAGCGGAAATTTTCTAGCACGATCTCCAGCTGCACCTTTCCACTTCGCTAAGGTCGTATTGCACGACTGCTCAAGCCGAAATAACTGCTATGAACGTAGCAGCCAATGCGATCATTTATTTCAAAAAAGTCGGCGGAAACGTTGTAATCTGCACTGATAGCAGACAGGCTATGCTGGCGGTTGGTAGGCATCAAACTACATCATCGTTGGTGAGGTCCTGTCGGCAATCACTCGAGGAGGTAAACGTATACAACAACGTCACGATAAAGTGGCGAAAAGGACACATCGGAATTAAAGGACATTATCATGCGGACAGGCTGGCGAAATGGACGCCTAACAAGTCACCGATCTCCCTGAACCGTTTGTACTATTAACTGTTAATACAGCATCAAAGTTGATAAATTCCATCTCCCATCGAGCTTTTTGCGATAGATGGGATCTACCCTGACCGGAAGAGATCTACTCAGTTTCAGAGAAAATCAAAAAGTGATTTGAGGCTTCTCACCCAGTTCCTGACCGGACACTGCAGGTTACGTAAGCCTATGCTCTACATGAAGCTGGATCAAGATGGATCATTGTGAATTTCGGATATAAGGAACATACTTTTCTGTTCTATATACCGTATATATACCGTGAAAAGTGTGGTTCAGTCATCGACTTCCATGCAGATGGAATACTACTTTTTTCTCTTTTAGTTGTTTTAAAAAAATCCTCTAGCACATTTGGACCGAGGGTACTAAATACAATGTTATAAGCAGATAATATATTCGTTTTTGCATCAATATTTGGTAAACTAACTTCTGTCCATATGAAAAATTGGCTACCAAATGTGTATTTCTCAAACACCGAACCCAAACCATTGCATTTTTTTAGTGAAGTAACTCCATCAGATGTTAAGTTTAGACATTTGTCTACACCTGCAGGGACAACAGGTCAAATTCAATTCTTGGATGTATTTGGCCTTAGGATATGGAGAAAGTTTATTAGAAAATTTTCTGGACAAGTTATTCAAGTTATATACAGGGTGTTAGGTAAACATGCGGCAAAAATTCAAGGGGTTATTCCTTGGCCTATTCTAAGAGTATTGTGTCCTATGATCCTATCAAATTTGTTGAAATTATTAATGTAAATAAAAGTACGTCAATAAGTTTATCAAGTCTCATCGATCGCATTTGTTTAGATTGAGTGACGCCGAGATGACTGACATGAAATGCATTCATGTATGTACTTACTGATCGCAATTCATCAGAAGCTTCGAAAAATCTTCGAAAATATTCATCGACGTCTTCGTGAAACAAGCTCTTTAAAACGAAGTGGAGAGCCAGGAAGATCAATGCAAGAACGGTACAATTGGAACAGAATGTGCTGGACATGATAGAGGAAGACGTTGGTAGTTCTACTCGAAGAACTATTTTGAATGTAAGACAGTTTGGAAAATTCTTAAACAATTTGTTGTATCCATACCATATACAACCCGTTCAAGCACTATTACCTGCTGATTTTCCTCCACGTATTGCATTATGTCAATGGATATTGCAAGCATTAGTTCGCATCCCTGACACAGATTCTTTTTACCGATGAAGCCAGTGTCTCAAGAAATACAATAAGGAATTTTCATAATAATCATGTGTGGGCAGATGAAAATCCGCATGAGGTATGTGAAGATCATTTTCAACATCAATTCTCCTTGAATGTTTTAGTTGGAATTATGGATAATTATCTAATTGGACCGGTATTTCTACCAGGAAGACTTACTGGCGTGGTGTATCGCAACTTTTTGGCAGAAACGTTGCCTGAGTTTCTGAAGGCTGTACCATACGCGACAAGAACTGTAATGTGGTTTATGCACGATGGTACACCACCACATTTTAGTTTGGTTTTTAACAGCAACATACGGAAATCGCTACATTGGTCGAGGTGGGCCACACGCATGGCCTGCTCTAGCCCCAGATTTAAACCCCCTGGATTATTTTTTCTGGAGATCTCTGAAGTCATTAGTTTTTGTAATTCGCGAAGGTAATGAAACCTATTACAGTATTCAAACGGGTGCTGTAATGAGACTCTTTACAGCATCCGATGCTGTAATGAGATTTTAGTAACATTTTATGGAACCAGTTCATGTTGGTGACATTGGGTCATCAATTTTTCTAGTTGTCAATGTGACAATTTTTGTCTATGGATGTTTAAACACGTTCTTAGCATCGAATACAAGGTCCACAATGATGAGGACATTGAACACTGAGCAATTTCTCTTATTTTGGGAGGTGTACATGAAACATTTTTTTCAGGTGAATACATTTTGTGTTTTGACAGTTTCTAATTGTCAATTCAAATTTCTATTTTCAAGTGTTACGGTGTTACCAACTGCTACATACCTATTTCCCTACATTGTCAAAATTTATTTTATTTTTGTTAAAAAAAAGGATAAAAACGCGAATTACAAAAAATAGCATAAAAAACACGTTTCGCAAGACTTAAAGCACTCATTCATTAAAAAACTCGTGGCTTCGCCACTCGTTTTTCAATTTGAATTCGTGCATTTCAAACCTGTCTTACGAAACTAGTTTTTTAATATACTATTACGCTACTCTGGTGTGTTTGAAAGAGTTCGACAGTCAATGACGAAAAGACTGAATACTTCTATTCAGGCTGGAGGAAGTCATTTCGAACATTTATTGTAGATTGAGCAACTTTACATGTACTTTTTGATAATAAAATGTTGTTACTGTCGCAAATTTTGTTCGCTCTGTATCTTCAAAACAAAGGGGTTTTTTAAAAATTATCGTAGGACAAAATATTCTTAGAATAGGCTAAGGAATAAACCCTTCAATTTTTACCGCATGTTTACCTAACACCCTGTATAATAAAAGTATTCTCTTTCCAATGAACCAACCCATTTTGAAAAATAACTTTTAGTTTTTGAGAAAACAATATTTGAAGTTTTGATAAAATTATTAATTTCATTTTTATTCAAATATCGCAATAATGTGGCAATATAGGGTATCACTTCAGAAATGCACCAGAAATTATAACCATAATGCTCGGATAGATATGCCGGATATCCGGTCGAAGGGGATGCCGAATCACTATTTTCTAGTTATAGGTCTAGTATTAGTTCTAGTTTTAGTTGAATTAACATCAGCCGTGAAAGCCTTCATATTTACAGAATTAATAATTACCTTGGATTATTCAAAATTTCACTAACAGCAGAAAATAATTTATCTTTAGATATATCATAATAATTCAAAGTAAGTCCCCCTCCTTTACTTGTAACCTTAGCAGCATTGTTATGTTGATCGATAATGATTGGAATTCCAAGAACGGGTACTCCGTGGTAAATAGCTTCTTGAGTGCTCAATCCACCGCAATGAGATATAAAAAGTTTTACGTTTTTATGGGCTAAAAATTCGATATTAATTAAATATTAATTAAAAATTAATTAAATTATCTTACCCAAAATTTCATTTTGAGGGAACCATTTTTGAATGATAACGTTTTTCGGGACCTTTAACCCCTCGACTTCAAACTTCCACAAAACGGTTTGTTTCAATTTACCAAAAACATCCACGAAAGCTTCTTTAATCTCGTTACTCATAAATTGCGATTTCATTATGCTCCCCATTGAAAAATAAATGACCCCATCTTTAGCACTATCTAATATATTTTCAATCTCTTTGCTTATCATTTTCGATCTTTTCGTTTGCAACCCTCCAACTGGAATAATATTCGGGGGAAAAGGTTGGGGGTAATCCAAAATAGGATCGTTATTAGTTAATAATATATCAAAATCTAATTCAACTTCGTAGAAATTTCTTATATTTTTTCCATAAACTTCTTGGGATTTCTTCAACATTTTACTTAAATAATAATGTTTTAAAGTAAATTCATAGGTTTGTAAGAAAAAGTTGTAAATTTTCGTTTTAAAATCCATGTTACTTCCGTATTGAACGCTGTAATTAGGAACATAAGATGGGACATGATACCCCATTGTATCACCTATTGAAGGTGGAGTCCCAAATGGTGAAACAGCAATCGTTTTTGCGGATTTAAAGTAATCAATTAACGGATAAAGACATTGGCCTCCTCCTAAATCAAAAACGATTAAATCAAAGTGATTTTGAGGGTAATCGTTGAGTTTTTTTGGTACATCCGATGATAAATCTAATTCGCAGTGGAAATATTGGTAATCCCATTCTAATGCGATTTGTTTGCTTGGACTTAATTTTGAATATTCAAGTACGTCCCATGTATAATCTTTGTAGGGATCTAAAAATTACATTTCTTATGAAAATTTAAAGTGATTAATGAACTTTTTTTATAAGATAAGAAAGGTTAAAGAGAAAATATTTAATAAAAAAATATACTCACCATCAATATACATCACAGTATAATTAGATGATATAATCTTGGGTTTATCATGTCCTAATAATGTTATATTATGCCCATTTTTCAATAATTGCCCTATTATGGCTTCATTCCATATATGATGACTTGGCGCGCCGAGTAATGTTAAAAATAAAATGTTAGCCGCTGATGAACTTCCAGCGAAAAGTGTAATCACAAACAATAAATGCATTTTATTTTCTTTTTGTAACAGCTAAAACTTATCTCGCAAATCAGAGAGATGCATGTAGACTGCAGTGTTAATGTTCTATAAAAGACTGTTTCAATTCCAAGGTTAGTGGGAACGGTTGTTGAGTGAACCGTTTATGCACCGATTGAAACTCATTGATGCGTAACTGAAAAACATTTATTTTTGATAATGGACAAAACAAATTAAAAGATGATTTGGTAATTGTTGTTAATTAGTGCCAGATTTAGTAAAATTCTGTTAAATGTAATGAGCTAAATAAAAGAAATTCTAAGAAAAAACAATATAAATACATAGAAAGTGTATTTATTATTATAGATTAACTCAAAAAAATAGAAAATTACAATCTGTCTAAATGTAACTTTAGATAGTTGCACATTTAGTACATAAACATATAAAGGCAATTGTTTGATCCTTCCATGATCGATCTGAGAAAATCTGTAAAATCAATAGAGTACGAAAATCAAGAAGGGCTTGTAAATGTTAGAATAGTGTTTGATACTTTAGAAAGGTCGATTTTGTTAATACTTGATGTTTTTGAATTTAGTTGGTTTGTGGTTGTTTCAACTAATTCTTCAAATTTCTGTTTTATTGTGTAACGAATTATGACTTATTTGGCGAATAATGATACGGCGTACTTTAAATAAATGTAACAAAAATATTATATAGGCAATCCAAGTTGCACCAAACAAAAACTATTCTAAAAAATCTCTAAGAAAATGAAGCATTCAAATCAAATTTTAAGTTTCTGCTCTTTTGAGATATCTAAGAGAATAATACATTCCACTTATCCTGTGTAAATTATGTATATAAGATGAAATTCATAGCAACTAAGCCAAGATAAAGATTTGGCGAAAACGTTTGCTTTGATGACGTGGACACAAAGCATATTATAACGTTACTTGTGCAGAAATCAAATGTACCAATCTAATCAAAAAATCTAATGGGAAAGATGATAAATCAGAAATGTAACCAAAAAAATTTTATAATAACTGTAATTTAATGAGGTTTCAGCCGAACATCGAAAACCTTAGGGTAAAAGATAATCAATTGTAATGAAGTAAATTTAGGAAACGAAGTTCAATTGAAAGGACCAGAGGCGGTGCTAGCCCTCTTGGCGCCCCCATGCAGATCTTAGAAAATGCGCCCTTCTAAAAATGTTTAAAAAATTTTCATTATCGTTTAAATTTACATATTTCCAGTGTTACTTATATTAAATACTAAAATAAAAAGCAATAGCAGATACTACATTTATTATTACATTTTTTATACAGTATACAAAATACAAATGCTATTTTACATCTAAAAAAATAGATATTAACAATCATTAAACGTTTACTCTTCGTGCTTTAGCACTTGCAAAATTTTCAATTATCTCGTTGTTATCAATTTGATCACATACATCACTTTCTATTGCGATCAACACATATCCGACAAGACGTTCTTGTGATAAAGTTGATCTAAGATAGGTTTTTATAATTTTTAACCGTGAAAACGATCGTTCCCCACTTGAAACTGTTACCGGTTGCGTTAATAAAACCCGTAAAGCGATACTTAAGTTATAGTCTTCCACACCGCGATCGGTTTTTATGACTCTGTCACTTTCCTACTGTAGTTGTAAAACGAACAAAGACGGGGTTGCAACAGGTAATTTCCCATTGTATAATGCTAGGATTCCTTACTCAGGGCCGCATTTAAGGAACACACTTTACTTGCAAATTGTAGAAAAATAATAGGGTGATATATAAATACTCATTATTTCATTCTAATATTAAGTACTCCTTCTAGCCGATATGTCAAAAAGTGTCCAAAAGGTGTCTAATGATAACTATAGTAGTCAAAAATAGTCCAGAAGCTTTCCAATTATTTCTATAGTCCTTAAAAAGTGTCCACAAGGTTTTTAATGACCTCTATAGTAGTCAATAATTAACCAGAAGCTCTCTAATTGCTTCTATAGTCTATATTTTAATTAAACCTAGTCTGATATTATTATTATTATTATTTTGGTAAATTCATATCGTTTTGTTATTAACTTTTTTATTGAATTTATTGGTGCCATTAAATCGATTATAAATGAAACAAAATAAAGAGAGCTTTTTGATTTGTTATTCCCAATTTTATTTCATCTCTAAGAATCTTTTTAATTATATCAAAAAGTGTCCAAAAGGTTTCTAATGGTATCCATAACTATTAAAAAGTGTCAAAAATTAAGGTTGGTATTAATATTTAAACATTATGTTGGTTAACTTCATTGTTGCTAACTTTGGATTTAATATTTTTGATTCTAACTTTTTTGTTTTTTGAGGAAAGTGTGTAATGTTTAGGCTCATTTTAAAGGTTATTATATACAGATTACAAATATAATAATAAAGTTAACTAAGTTAATATAAATTTAAGTTGACATTAAGATCTGAAAGTTTTTTTTAGCCATGCGCCGAAACTTTCAAAAAACACCAAAATCATTTTTATTGAAATAAAACTAGAACTAACACTAGACCTAGAACTAGAAAGCTTCGGGTTTAGCCGTGCGTCTGAAGACGCACGGCTAAATCCGAATATTTCTAGTTCTAGGTCTAGTGTTAGTTCTAGTTTTAAATTAGTACGGTTACCATGTAGAACTAACACTATACATAGAACTAGAATCATTTGGGTTTAGCCGCACGTCTCTAAAGACAGCTAAACCCGAATGATTCTAGTTCTAAGTATAGTGTTAGTTCTAGTTTTACAGATGCACTGCCACTAGAACTAACATTTAACCTAGAACTAGGTTAAAAGAAACTTTCAGGTGTTAATGTCAACTTTAATTTTATTATTATATTCGTAATCTTTATAAAATTATCTTTAAAATGAGTCCAAACATGACACACTTATCTCAAAAAACAAAAAAGTTAGAATAAAAAAACATTAAACTGAAGTTAGCAAAAATTAAGAATATGTCAAAATTGACGTTGACATTTCTAACCGGAAGTTGATCATAACTTCATTAATATTGAAGATAAGTATGTCGTGTTTGTACTCATTTTAAAGGATTTTTAATGTAAATTACAAAAATATCAAAATCGAGGTTGACATTTTAAATCTGAAGTTATTTATCGTATAATAGACAAATGGACAACACTTCATAGTCTTATTTCATGATGTATTCTTTATTACAAAATTACTGAAAAGTGTCTTACGGTTTTTAAGTTATATACAGGGTGTCTCAGCGAGACCGGTCATTAGACGTTTCTGGGGTTCTGGCAAAGATNATAACTGTAATTTAATGAGGTTTCAGCCGAACATCGAAAACCTTAGGGTAAAAGATAATCAATTGTAATGAAGTAAATTTAGGAAACGAAGTTCAATCGAATAGACTCGGATGTAACTAGGAAAAATCAATTGAAAGATGTTCATGAATATTACAAATCGATGAAATTGAAATAGAGGAATTTGGTTTCATAATACAAAATATGTTGATGATCAATATTTTGTTCTACGGACAACAACTTTGTAATAAAACGAAAAACTAGCCTATGAAGTTATAAAGCGCTGCTATAGATATTTTGGGAATAGCTATAGATCCATTGAATATAATTAACGTGAAAGGTTCATGTGTCAAAGTGATCTAGAAAAACAATTCGAACTGTTATCTATGCCGCGATCTCAAAGAAATAAGAGAAGAAAACATATGAAAACTTTAGTATTGCGCTGAAAGTAGCTAAACAGAAAGGACCCAGAAAGGACACTAACGTCGGTTTCTGTGATGTTGGAGAAATCGGTGACGTTATGATTAAGAGGGAACTTGTTGTTAATGGTTGTACGTAAGCACGTAAGCAACAAAGTACATAAATGGCATTAAGGAGCCGAGATACGCAGTTCTTCCTTAGACAAAAGTCGTAGGAAATTTAGGACACTATAATATATAAACGAAAAATATTTTTTTTCGAAAACTGCTATTAAAAGTTGACTTTTGCGTAGTACTTAGCGACCGTCCAGGACGCAAAAGACTTTTTTGTAATTCGCGAGGGCAATGAAAGCTCTAACAGTACTCAAACGGGTGCTGTAATGAGACTCCTTACAGCATCCGATGCTGTAATGAGATTTTAGTAACATTTTATGGAACCAGTTCAAGTTGGTGACATTGGGTCAATAATTTTTCTAGTTGTCAATGTGACAATTTTTGTCTATGTATGTTTAAACACGTTCTTAGCATCGAATACAAGGTCCACAATGATGAGGACATTGAACACTGAGCAATTTCTCTTATTTTGGGAGGTGTACATGAAACATTTTTTTCAGGTGAATACACTTTGTGTTTTGACAGTTTCTAATTGTCAATTCAAATTCCTATTTTCAAGTGTTACGGTGTTACCAACTGCTGCATACCTATTTCCCTACATTGTCAAAATTTATTTTATTTCTGTTAAAAAAAAGGATAAAAACGCGAATTACAAAAAATAGCATAAAAAACACGTTTCATAAGACTTAAAGCACTCATTCATTAAAAAACTCGTGGCTTCGCCACTCGTTTTTCAACTAGAATTCGTGCATTTCAAGCGTGTCTTACGAAACTTTTTTCTAATATACTATTACGTCCAGCTACAAACAAGCTACAACAAATTATAAACACAAAATAATCAACATTTAATTGTTTTATCATTTCATTTCACGTTTAAATACAAATTTATAATAGTACATTTGTTCAATAAGTGAGGTTAAATTGATGTGACGTTAAGTTTTTGACATAACATTAAATGAATTCTAAATGTCATTATACAGAATTTGGTCTTTTTATTAATTTATAACTTTAGAATCCGCAGTTTTCGAAAAAATTTTGTTTGATACACGACAGCGAAATTCTTTTGCATTCTCGAACGATATTTTTTGCTCGCTAAAGCTCACAAAAAAAAAACTTTCGTTCTCGAATGCAAAAATGTCATTTCGCTATCTTGTATCAAAAATAACTATATACATACAGATTGTTCCATAACGACGTACTGAAATAAACATATGTTATTTTTAATGGAATGATATAGTTTTTATTGCGTATTCTGATTCAACACACAAAACTAAGTTGAGTTTGATAAGACATGTTGATACCTAGTGCTTTTAGTTTTTAAGCTATTTTAATTAGAAGCTTTTTTTAGCAATTAACACTGTGCCCTTCAAATCT